TCTCCTTCCTGCTGCCTACTGATGGAAATGTAGAACTCATGGCTCCTTCTCTATCACCATGTCTGCCTGCATACTGCTGTGCTTCCCACCATGATGATAATGGACTAAACTTCTGAACTTTAAGCCAGTCCCAATGAAATGTTTTCCTTTATAAGAGTTTCCACAACCTTCCATTTTACTATATTTTTTTATCCCATGGATCCTGTGATGTTAGACTGTTTGTTTACTTTCTTTTTGGGTAATTCATTAATCATCAGCACAATACAAGCTAAAGCTGTGGGCACAGAGTTGTAATAGATAATAAAATTCTTGAGAAAGTAAAAAAAAAAAAAGAGTTTCCATAGTCATGGTGTCTCTTCACAGTGATAGAAACCCTAACCCTAACCCTAACCCCACTTGTGCACAAAAACAACTTGTCATGGTTAGTTTTTGTCACCTTGACACAAACTTGGACATACCTGGGAAGAGGTAATCTCAGTTTGAGAATTGCCTCCATCAAATTGATCTGTGGGACATTTTCTTGATTTCTGACTGATGTGGGAAGGCACAGCCCACTGTGGGCTGTACCATTCCTCAGATGGTGGGCTTGCACTGTATAAGAGAACAAGCTGAACAAGCCATGGAGAACAAGCTAGTAAGCAGTGTTCCTCATGATCTCTACTTCAGTTCCTGCCATGGTGTCAGTATTTATTGAATAGGTGAAGTGAATGAATAAAAATGAAGGACTAAATCAAGAGTTGATAAAGTATAAAAACAAGATGTGTCAGGGATGCAAAAAGTAACAGAACCTGTATCAAAATTGGGAAGCCTGGCAGTATTGAGAAGAATTCCTGAGGGCCAGGAAGAAGTGCTGTGGGAGGTTTTTCTGTATGCTGTGAATATGTGTGGTGCCCATTGGATAATAAATAAAGCTGCATTGGCCTATGGCAAGGCAGGATGGAGCCAGGCCAGAAAATCTAAGAGAGAAAGTGGGAGGAAAAAGGAGAGTGGGAGGAGACGCCAGCCCGCCACCCAAGGAGCAACAAGATGCCAGCAGACTGGTAATGTCACGGCCATGTGGCAACATATAGATTAATAGAAATGAGTTGAGTTAAGTTATAAGAGCTAGCTAGCAAGAAGTCTGACCAATAGGCTATACAGTTTGTAAATAATACAAGCCTCTGTGTGTTTACTTGGGACTAAGTGGCTGCAGGATGCAGGTGGGAGAGATTTGTCCTGACCGTGAGACCAGGCAAGACCAGAGAAACTTCCATGTACAAAAAAGGCTCGGCGGGGAAAGGTCCTAGCCATGCAAGCCTGCAGACCTGGGTCTGGTCCCCAGAACTCATGTAAAAGTCTGGGTGTGTGACCCGTGTCTGTAATCCCAGAGCTGTTACCCGGAGAAGGGAGACACAGACAAAACACTCACCCAGAAGCTCAGGAGCCAGCTAGCCTGGAGTGCACAACTCACCCACAGAAACATCAAAAGAAACTCTGCCACAACAAGGTGGAAGATGAGAACCAACTTCTAAAAGTTGTTTTCTGAGCTCCCTGTGCATCCAGTGTCATGCATGCATACAAAGTAAATAAATAAGAACTGATGATCGGGGAGAAAGCAAAAATAACCATAAATCATGCTGAATCAAAAACCAGCCTGTGTTAGGCCCCAAAGGTGAGCCTATTACAATCACTCTGCTAAGTGGACATAATAGCAAACTGTCCTCTGGATTCATCTCTGAGGTACACCTCATCAGAGAAGTTTCTGTGCGCAGTATAGTGGTTAACTCAGAAACTCACAAGTGACCAAAGAGCAGAGAATAAGTGTCAGAGGAGTGCTCAGCTGCAAATTGGATGTCTATATCACCTCCCACAAGGCTCAGTGACTATTACAGAAAAGGGGCAGAAATCAGGCAGTGAAACAGTGTCTTCTGGAAGTGACAGGACCATTTCACCCCTGACCTCACAGCAACTGTGGCTGCTTGAATAAGACCTATATATTTAAGTCAGTCAAAATTCTGGCACGAAGTAAGGAGCTTAGGATTCCTCACCCTTGACTGAAAAGCTGCTGGCAGCAGATGGATGCTGGAAGAGAGCTGATTTTCTTTAAGGGTGTGGCCCTGGCAGGTCAGCCTTGCTCCAGCAGACACCTCTGCACCCGTGAGTACATGGGCAGCACAAAGTGGACTTGGTCAGTTATTTAAAAGTAAAAAATAAAAAATAACTGGGCATGGTAGTTCACACTTTGGCAGAGACCCATAGACCTCTGTGAGTTCAAAGTCAGCCTAATCACGGCCTGGCAGTGGTGGTGCATGCCTTTAATCCCAGCACTCAGGAGGCAGAGGCAGGCGGATCTCTGTGAGTTCCTGAGCTACCAAGTGAGTTCCAGGAAAGGCACAAAGCTACACCTTTGCAACAGAGAAACCCTGTCTTGAAAAAAACAAACAAACAAAAAAAACATAGCAAGTTCCAGGCCAGACAGGGCTACATAGTGAGACCCTGTCTCAAAAAATTAAAAAGAGGAAATGAAGTGCACAGTAGGTGAGGCTGTGAGGATGGATCTGGGAGGAGTTAGGGGGAGGAATGGAAGCTGAATATATGTAAAATACATTGTATGAAATTCTCAAAAATTAGTAAAAATACTATATCTAAAAAGGAAGAAAATGGCCTGTGCTGATGTCTCTGATGGGCTGGGCCTCATCAAAGCAGACAGTAGGTTCAGTGAGGTCCATTCTATGACAATGAAACAACATTAATAAATTGAGCTCTATGCAGCCAGATACTGTACTTATTGCTTTTTATGGCTGGAGAGATGACCACTCTTCCATAGGAGCTGGGTTCAGTTCCCAGAATCCACACAGGGGCTCAGAACCATTTGTAATTCCAGTTCCTGGGGATCCAACACCTTCTTCTAGCCTTAGCATCAAACATGTACATAGTACACAGATATACATGCAGACAAAACACACATAAGATTAACAAAATATGTTTAAAGTTTTCAAGACAGGGTCTCACTATTTATTAAACCTGGGTAGCCTCAAATTTGAGATCCTCCTGCCTTAGCTTCCCATGTTCTGGGCTTATGTGTCATGTGCCTGATGTAAATTTCCTTAACATTGCTACTCTAAGAAGTGACCATTATCATTACCCTGATTTTAAAACTTAGGACCACCTGGTGGTGGTGGTGGTGGTGGTGGTGGTGGTGGTGGTGGTGGTGGTGGTGGTGGTGGTGGTGGCACACGCCTTTAATCCCACACT